TCATGTTCTTTTGTCAACAGCAATTGTCACAATTTATAGCTATTGTGGAGAGCCTATCCAGGCAAGGTGTCTCTTAGACAGTGGATCTCAAACATCATTCTGCACCAAGGAATTGGTTCAAAAACTAGGCTTAAAAACATTTTTCAAGTCCTTACAAATCTCCGGAGTTTCTGACAGTTCGATCAGCTCCACACAAATGATCAACATAAACTTTCACTCTCACTCGAATCCACAAAAACAATTTCAAATATCCTGCGCAATCTTGGACAATATAACCATCAATCTTCCACAAGTGACACTCAGCGTTGAACACCTCGGAATTCCTAATGACATTACCCTTGCGGATCCTCGCTTTTATCGCAGCGCAAAAATTGACATGCTCTGTGGAGCAGATATCTATTACGATCTATTAGTTCCAGGTATGATTCATTTGGGCAAAGACAGACCTACCCTATTTAATACTCATTTAGGCTTCATAGTCGGGGGAAAAATTGGTCTCATCCAAAATCCTTCTCAAACATTATCGTTTATCTCTGTAGTTTCTAACAATGTCAGTATGCTTTCTCGTATTTCTCAAACTAGTGATCTTTTGGAAAGATTTTGGTCACTAGAGGAAATTGATACAAAATCTATTCCTTCTCCGGAGAATCAACTTTGTGAGCAAATATTTAAAGACACAACCCTAAGACTTCCCAATGGTCAATTCCAAGTTAATCTTCCTCTCAAGAGTCCCAACGAGCACCTAAAACTTGGCGATAGCTTTGCGCAAGCCAAAAGACGATTTTTTCTCCTAGAAAAAAGGTTTGAGAAAAATCAGAGTTTATTTCATGAATACAAATCATTCATTGATGAGTACATAGCATTGAATCATGCCAGAATAATTCCCCTCACAATAAAAAATGAGAAAAACGAAAATAAATTTTTTCTCCCACATCATCCAGTGTTAAGACCAGAGAGCACCACCACAAAGTTGCGAGTGGTTTTCGACGGTTCTATGACATCATCATCAGGAGTCTCCCTTAACAATATAACTCTCAAGGGTTTTCTCGTCCAGTCTGACCTCTTTGACATTTTGCTCAGATTCAGAGTTCGCAATTATGTGCTGATAGCTGACATTCAAAAAATGTATAGGAATATCCAAATCAATCCTAATCAAACATTTCTCCAAAACATTTTATGGAGGGATCACCCCACTGAAGATCTAAAATGCGTAGAACTTACTTCAGTTACGTACGGCTTGAATAGTTCAAGCTTCTTGGCAACTCGTTGCTTAAGTGAACTTGCTGTTTCTAAAAAATCTGACTATCCGCTAGCTTCACAGGCGTTGTTACTTCAAACGTACGTTGACGATGTCCTGGCTTCTCAGGAATCCTTAGATGAACTGCATCAACTTTATGTTGAATTAAATGCTCTTTTAAACTCAGCTGGATTTTATCTTCATAAGTTCGCATCGAATTCAAAGGAATTCACACAAAACGTCCTTAAAACTTCTAATTCTCAATTGTCTTCTCAAACGCTTGACATAAAAATGGAGCAGGTTTCAAACAAGGTTCTCGGTTTAAAGTGGAACTCATCCGAGGATCAATTTTGTATTTCTTTACCCGCGTTAGAAACCCAGAAATGCTTTACAAAGCGTGAGGTGCTGTCCAACATTGCGAAGATGTTTGATCCCTGTGGTTACCTTGGTCCAGTCATTGTTATCGCGAAAATTTTTATGCAAAAAATTTGGAACAGGAAGCTGGACTGGAACGACAAGCTTCCGCCCGACTTATTGGATGAATGGTTGGATTTATACACAAGAATTCCTTGCCTGAAAAATGTCCAAGTTCCACGATGCTTACTTTTGAAGAAAAAGATTCTAACCGTCGAGCTTCATGGCTTTGCGGACGCAAGCCTACTTGCATATTCTGCTTGCGTGTATTTACGCGCAACATACGCAGATCATACAGTTTCTAGTCGTTTGATTTGTTCCAAGTCCAGAGTTAGCCCTGTAAAGACTATTAGCGTACCCAGACTCGAATTATGTGGTGCATTACTTTTAGCACGTCTCGTTGAGAAGGTTATAGCCATTTTCAATAATGCTATTAAATTTGAATCCATAAATTTATGGACGGATTCGGAAATTGTGTTATGCTGGTTGTCAGCACACTCTTCCAGATGGGTTGTTTTTGTGAGCAATCGTACTGCTGAAATACAAAGGTTAACCGAATCATTCATTTGGCGACATGTTTCTTCGGAAGAAAACGCAGCCGATCCTTTGTCCCGTGGAGTTTCTCCCGATAAAATTCAATTTTGCGAGTTGTGGTGGAAGGGACCTAATTTTTTGCAAAACTTTGAACTTGACCTCAGTAAATTCACATTCAAGATTTCACAAAACAATGAAGCATTAAAAGAGGAGCGAAGTATAAAAACGATTTCTTCGCATTTTTCCATAACTAATGAATATTGTTACTCAAAATTTCTAAAATTTTCTAGTTTCACTCGCCTGCATAGAACTTTCGCTTTTATTTTCAGATTTGTGAAAAATTTAAAACATAGCTCCAATAAGGTTTTGGAAAATTCTTTATCAATCGAAGAATTGCAAGTTTCTCGTAACTTTATCATTAAAACCATACAAGAAAAGCATTTTTCCAAGGAAATATCCTGTCTAAAACACCACAAGGTCGTGCCTAACAAGGCAATCTTATCTTTAAGTCCCTTTTTGGACCCCGAAGGAATTTTAAGAGTCGGTGGCCGTCTGTCCAGAGCAGATATATCATTTGACCAGAAATTTCCCATTTTGCTGCCCGCTAAAGATCACGTAGTTGATCTAATTCTTACTAAGCAACATTTGGACCTGTATCATGCAGGCCCCCAAACTGTTTTATCGCATACTCGACTTCGTTATTGGCCTCTCAATGGCCTTCGAGCCATTAAAAAACTAACAGGAAAGTGCATAGTTTGTTTCCGATTACGGGCCCAAGTAGCTCAACAAATAATGGCAGATTTGCCAGAGTTTCGAGTAAACTTCACAAAACCATTTGCCAAGGTCGGCGTAGATTTTGGCGGACCAATGCTTGTCAAATCATCCTCGTTGCGGCAAGCCAAGCTTCTCAAATGCTACTTTGCCGTGTTCGTATGTATGGTCACAAAGGCCACACATATCGAACTAGTATCAGATCTTTCCACTAATGCTTTTATTTGCACACTCAAGCGCTTTATATCCCGTAGAGGTAATCCGTCCGTAATTTTCACCGATAACGCCACAAACTTCAAAGGCTCAAGAAATGAAATTAAAGAACTTTACGACTTCTTTAAAAATGATGCACATAATAAACAAATAAAGGATTTTCTATCACTTAGAGAAACGCAATGGGTTTTCATCCCTCCTCGCTCTCCTCATTGGGGCGGTTTGTGGGAAAGCTCCATCAAAAGTACCAAATATCACATCATAAGAGTAATTGGCGACTCTCATTTTACTTTCGAAGTTTTAAGTACTGTATTGGCTCAAATAGAGGCAATTCTCAATTCCAGGCCACTTTGCGCCTTATCAAACGACCCTTTGGACCTCGATGTCCTCACTCCAGGCCATTTTCTCATTGGCTCCAGTTTAACATCTTTTCCAGAAAGATCCTTAGAAAACACCACTACAAATAGACTTTCTATGTGGAAAAACATGACAAAGGTTCAACAAGCCTTCTGGAAAAGATGGTCAACTGAGTACTTAAACCAACTTCAGAATAAACCAAAGTGGCTAGTCCAAAAACCAAATATTAAAGTTAATGACCTTGTCCTCATAAAGGAAGAAAATGTACCTCCTTTAAAATGGCCAAGAGCCCGGGTAACTGAAATCATTACGAGTGCAGATAATAATGTTCGTGTTGTAAAATTAAGAACAAAAGACTCCGAATTCACTCGTTCAATCGCAAAGCTGTGTCCACTGCCATTGAACAATGAGTGATGGTCCTTCGAATCGTTTCTTTTCTCCATTTCTTGAAGCTGAGGCTTCAAGGGGGGGGGAGTATGTTGAAATTTCATTTCATCCCGCTGCCGCCGCCGCTGTATTTAAAGTTAAATTTCTTTATATTTTTATTCCTACTATAATCTGCTGTTTCTACGTTTCTACCCGATTTTCAAGGGAACGTGCGTATGCCCAAGCGCATCGCAAAAGTAGGTCAAGACTGGAGGTGGAGAGTAGGTACGAAGTCGAAGTTTTTGTTTGCCTTGAGTTCTCACTTCTAGTCAGAGATCGTAACGAATTGCAAGGGTTGTTTTGTACCGCTTTTTTCTTTTCTCCAAATGGCCCGATCGTGCGCCTGAAATCAACCTTTTCTTTCTCTTCAGTTTTCTATTGTTTAATTGCTGTTAATTAACCAATTATTTGCGTTAAAGTGAACGTTCCATATACTTATTTAAATATGCAATGTTCTTCAGAATTTGTTACCTGTTTTCGGTAAATAGTTGTAAATAGTCGTTTTTCGTTCAAATTAAAATAAAATAACTTTTCATAATCAAACCATCGTGTTTGCTTGAACCTGGATATACGAACAAGAATTAGCACGGCATTGGCAGCATTCTACCACAGATTCTACACTTGAAAAATAAATAAATGTTGGAAACCACAACACTTTCTATTTTCATGATTAGAACTTGTCAATACATTTATCCGATCTCTGTTGACCCTTTAAAAAGAAAAAACTTTTAAAAGAAAAAATACTTTTTTATTGGAAACGAAAGAAAATATATTATTTTATACATCTTTTTTCAATTTTGTTACATTCAAAATACATACTTAGTTATATTATCAATGCGACTGACATGAGAAACACTACATTTCTGAAACTTCTTCTATGCTGCTCCTGAACACATACCTAATTCTCTCTCCAGTGGCAACTATATCAGGTGTATTTAGTAATTAAATTATCTGACTAAGATTTACATACGAAACATCTTTTTCATTAGCGATGTATATTTTTTTTGTGAAGTCTGCACTATTTAGTGCCATAACTTTGACATCATCTTCAATGATCTTTTGCACAATACATACATATATAATTGAATTTTTGGGCATTTCTTTTCCCTCCCACAAATGATACTAAAACAAAGTCTCCCTGCTTAATCTGCTCAATACTCTTTATTTCTTTGATATCTTCGGAGGGACTTTCTTCTTCTTCAAAATATGGGGAATCATCAGATTCCATAAAAATAACATCTCCATCGGAAGAATGATCTGTATCAGAATCATCATTATTTCGGGTATTATTCTGATTCCCTTTTTGTTTTCTAGCTTTTGAATTTTTAAATTTTTTTCCTAATTGTGACGAGGATGGTTGGATATCTATATCGTTCTTCATTTTTTTTATTAGTACAAAATCTTTTAAGTCGATCCGTGCTTACCCTGCCGTTTCCTTCATCAAGTAACCAAATAAATGATGATTTTTTGATGACTCTTACTTTATCATTGGGTAAGGTTACTCTTAGATAAGGGCTGCCCTCAGATATATTAATTTTTTGATCTGAATAATCTTTCAAGTCAATATTGTCCTCTAAAAGATTTTCATCTTGAACAAGTACTAAATCATTAGCAAGTACATTTTGTCCAATATCTGTACTTCCTTCGTTTGCCACCTCAAGATTTTCCAAGAGATTTTCATTGTCATTAGTTTGTAAGTCACAAGTATTTTCTTGGGTTTCTTCAAGTTTTTCTTCAACATTCAAGAGTAAATCAAATGCATCATTTTTTTCAATAGTGATTCCCAGGTTACTCACATCCTTAAAAGCCTCTTCTAATGACTTATTTATCAGATTTGGTATATTGATCTCATCTATGTCTTTTTTTGGAGCTTTCTAAAAATTTTTTTTTCTGTTCCCTTGCAAAAACAAACGAGCCCTTAAGATCCTTTACAATGAAGTTTATATGTCCTCTCGTATGTCCTATTCGATCAACTCTGTTAAATAAGTCCTTAATGCTAAAATTAATTACAGTAGATTGAGTAGATGTCATTGATCGCGCACACCGGAACAAACTTTCACATGACTGACTGTTGAATATACTGGGCCAAAACATATCTTCAGTTATGCTTTCATCTTTTTGGAATTTTTCAACCAGTTTTATCAACATGTGTCCGTTAATTTCCATACATGTATATGAATTGAGAGAAATGAAATTTTCTGTTAGAGTATACTCTTTGTGCTCTTTTATTAATTTTCTCCAATATCTGAAAAAAAATACTGCATACCATATTTTAAAAATACGCGTTGGCAAATCTTCATTTGAAGCAATTAAGGAGTCAATTACATATTGCATGACTTTCAACTAGATTACCGTTCCACTGCTTTGTGAGATATTTTCTTCCAGGGATTCTCTAACTTTGTAATGACAAATTTTTTCAGCAATTTTGAAATTCATTTTATCTTCAGAAGATATATCCATTTTGCTAAGTAAATGATGACTTTTATTAACTGATGCAATTAGTTGTTTGAGATGTTCGGAGCTAGCAAGATAGTTTCCCAGTGGTAAACATATCCCCGGTTTCAATAATCTTGTTTTTAGTTTTGTAAGAATATGGATTGAATCTTGTAGGAAACAAAGATCATTTTGTGAAAAATCTATATGACACCAATCCTCTAGTAAAGTTAAGTTTTTGTTACCAACAAATGCTGATTTAAGTTTCATAGCTTTCAGTAGTCTGGTGTCACCATCAGAGGAAAATCCCAATATTTTCTTTCCAAATTTTGATGACTCAGAAATCATCCTATCCCATCTTTCTAAAACGTCTTTGTAGGTAAACCTGTTGTCGGTCGCAAATAAAGAGATACAGAATGATGGGGCATTTGGACTCACTGGCTGAGCCATAATTACATAGGCATAATTTGCTCTGTTGAAATTTCGGAAATATGATTTCTTTTGCATTTCTAGCAAGAAATATATCTTTTTCAGGAAGACCTTCCGATAGAGGTGCTACAAACCCCATTACTTTGTTTGTGGAAGAATTATATTCTATTTTACCTGTAATTCTTGTTCCATCCTCAGATATCCATACTACTTTCGGAAGGTCATACTGGTCCAAAAAAGCCCTTAAACCTTCAAAGTTCAGGACTCCTTCCTCTTTGATAAAATATTGTCGGGATCGAAATCTTTGCAATGTAGTAATTGAAGGTAAAATATTTTTGAGATTGTTCTGTAAAGTTTCGTACAGACGTTTTCCGCCGACATAAAAAAATATAGAGTTCAAATTTATTCAAGTCTTCGTCATAACTGTTCGTGTGTACTGACCCTTTATTTGTATTTGCTATTTTAGACAGATGATTTAAAAATACATTGATTCTATTCGAATCAGTTTGGGTTTCTGGAAAAGGTGAAAAATTACTTGCAGCTTCTGTGAAATCTTTAAAATGGTCAGCCTCTTCTTCAATAATGATGGATATTTTTTGAATTAAAGTTGAGAAATTGGTTTTAGTGGTTGATTTTTCTGTAAAGATTCTCTTTTCCTTCTAAGCCGTTCTGATCGACTGTACTTCAAAGAAGACCACTTATTGTTTTCTTTATTTGCAATGTGATTCGGGTCAGCCGAGAGGTCAGCAGACATCATGATGTGTTCGTCTCTGATATCATCTGATCCTTGATCTTCTTGAAGAACTTCAACTTGATTTTGCTCATTGTGCTCCAGGTGTTGAACTTCGATATCAACACCTGATTCTTGATGATCTTGGAAATCTTGATCTTGATTTTCGTAACTAGATTCCTTTGAAGGCCTATTTTCCAAGTCACTTGGAGAAGAATCAATAATGCTAGGCTAACTGTTGAAATAATTGTTAGTTTCTTGCATGGGGCTAATATTAAGTAGTGAATTTTTATTCAATGATATTGACTGCAAAATCTTAATTTCTGGATTTGGTTTTTTCACTGGCCCGCTTCCAAGGTTATTTCTATTGGTTTTTGGATTGGCTTGGGTAAATGTTGTGAAAAAAGACGTTATTTTTTGTGAAGATTTTGGTTGTCCAGTTGCTTTTTTCGTTTTATTTACAGGTTTTTCCAGGGGTATTTCTTCCATGTTTGTTTCGGTCGAATGTTTTTTTAGGAAGTGGAAGTGATAATTAGAACAAACCCAACGAACTTTTCCTGGGTCAGATAATTTCTTTTTTTTTTGGGTTTCCCACTTTTGAAACTGTAATTTGTGTCTGACAAAAACAAGTTATCCTACAAATAAGTTGTACATCTTTTTTAACACTTTTTTCCTGGCTTTTATCAATATCTGCAACCTCAGTGGTTTCAAATTTAATATTGTTAAATTTGTCTTCAAGTTCAAGTTCAATCCATTCCACTTCGTTTATTTTTGTTTTTGCCCATTGCTTTAGCATTTTAATTAAAAACGAATTCTCTTGTGTCATGCTGTTACTTTGAATAACTATCCCGTCTCGCTTTTTGGCTTGAGATTGCAAGGGAAATTGGGTGGCATTCTCGGTATTATTTGTAAATATTATTGGCTCCGTCATCACAGATTTATCCACTCTCCCTGATTTCTTTGTCAAATGGTCTTTAATTAAAAATATCAACTTTTTTTGGCCTTCATTAAATAAAAACTTTTCAGAGAAATGTTCGTATAATGGTCCATAATATTTGGCTCTTTCTTGATTAGGAATTATAGTGTGTAGCTCTTTTTTCATAAATGTCTCTATTTTAGTAATGTCCTCATAGGTTATCATTTTTAGATTTATTGAATTGTCAAATCCGTTGATAGTCAATATGTTTTTCAGTACACTTGTAATATCTGTTTGCATTTCTTCGGCAATGTCTTCGAATATTCTTGTTTCCATCTGTAAAAATAGCAATGGTATATTATACATGTTGTATAAAAATTAGGCTAAAATAGTTTTAAAACTGGTAGATTATTCAAGGAGAATGAATGAAAATAATCCAATCAAATAATATTCAACCTAATCTACTCACGTTTGTTACTCCTTGCTGCCTTCTTCCAGTGGTTTAAATTGGGACTTGGAACCTGTGGAGATTATTATTATTACTGAAAAAATCTTCATAGTTACACAAAGGATGAAAATCAGCGTCCTATCAAGCTGTCAATGGGTCCTGTGTTACTTTTGTTAGAGGGCCCACCCTAGTTTTTTACAGGCATAAAGAAAATTACGAAAATTTTGCCAAATGTAATAGTTATTTAATCAACAAGTTTTGAAAACTACTTTTTTCACACGGTGAGGCAGTTAAGTCCACAAATCCAGCCAGTGTGAAAAATGGTTTTCAAACAAGTTTTTTACAATGCTTTTCCTACAACTGTAAAATAAAGCAACCAAATATGTAGGTAATTTTCTCGATAATTTTTATTTATGAAAAAACGAAGCATCAACATCAATAATTGATGACAATCCCAATTTATGTTGCCATGTTAAGATGATAGGGGCAGTGTGTGAAAAACTAAATTTTCAGAGGCAGTTGTAGGAAGAAATTTATTCAGATCCACAAAAAAAATATATGAAAAACAAAATGGGCCCTGGCCTGAGTAGATAGTGCGCTGATGATAATAGTACAATAGCGTACATTAAGTTAACCTAATATCTTATATTAAAATTGTTATACACTTACTTGATTCACATCCAGAGATATCCACTATTTAAATCCAAAAATATCTAACTTATTAAAATTTGAAATCTTAATGAACGATATTTGTAATCGCAAAGTGCGTTTCTGTAGCTACTGCTGCTCCAATGTACTGCTCACAGAAACAAATATGGTTGGTCAGGCCTTTGCGCAAGTTCGCCGCATCAGGCACTTCCGCTATGCCAATGTATGAAATAGTGGGGACAGATGATACACCAGGCGTCTGGTAATAGCCCCATCTTTTTTATTTGTATTGCTTTGGATAAGGATGTAATAATAACCGCGCGGAACGTCCGATGTAGTATCTGAGCTCACCCCAGGAAAAAATTCCTACAGATTGCGCAGGTTCTTGAGCATGCGCAATAAGTGAAAATTCTAAATTATTTCTAAAAATTCTAATTAAATTCTAAAAAATGCTAAAAAAATACTAAAAGAATACTAAAAATTGCTAGGAAATACAAAAAAATGCTAAAAAATACTGATAATACTAAAAAATACTAAAAAATTCTAAAAAATTCTAAAAAATTCTTAAAATTCTATCAGCTTGTAAACCAAAATTCTAAGGTGGTTTCCCCCTCGTTAAAAACCATATTAGATATATCCTTTTTCCCATCAACAAGGTCTTGTCCAAGAAACTGTCAATTATGCTTCGGGTTAAAATTAGAAACTGTCTTGTTGCTCGAGCATCATCGTATTTGGATAGCAGATTTGTCACATGTGAAGCTGATAATTTGTCAATCAATAGCATTGAAATTCATTAAATCTATTCCTAAAAAATGACGAAAGTAAATATTGTCAACATTACATTGTGTCGGTAGTAAAAATTTTCAGTCACTTGAAGTTAACAGGTGTTTATCTTTTGGGACTTCACTTATGAGACGTTCTAAATGCGATGATTTTCCCATTGGTAAAATTATATCAGCTTTTAACAGTCTCGTTTTTAGTTTTGTGGCAATTGGAACACTAACGGATTTTCTTCGCAAAAGTTAGCCTACAGCAAAAATAGTATATTAGTTAAGGTGAGAAATTAATGCTCATCCTAAAAATTCCCTCCTGGAAATAAGTGGCATATGGATTGTCAACGTCAACTTGCTTTGAAGACAGGCCTGCAAATGTTTTCATGTTTTGTAGACAACGGGTATCACCATCTGATGAAAATACCACAACATGTATTCCATTCTTTGATGTTTCTTCCATAATATACCGCCATCTGTGTGAGACGTCTTCTGAAGTAAACCTGTTGTCTGACCCAAAAAGGCAAATACGGAAGGCTGGCGCCCCATCAACCAGTGGCTGGGCCATGTAGACATAGGAAGTGCTCGACAATGTTTGTTTTTCAATCGTATCTTGAATATCTTTCACTGAATTTACTTTAAACTGATCTTTCTCTGGAAAACCGTTCACCTCAGAAATTACCGGAACACATCCAACAAGCTGGTTTTCTTTTAGAGTGGCATTTTGTTGATTTGTGAATAATTCATTGGCAATAGTAATAACGGGTCTAAAGTGTTTAGATAATTCAGAGTTATTGGCAACCGATTTTTCGATTTCTTCACATACTTCGTACTAGTCCGTTAATTTCATCTGGTTAGGATCCATTATTAGCCGCGTTTTGAGTGCTTGCTTTCAGCCATCTAATATGTTAAATGGCCGTTTGCACCGACCGTTTCAAGGAAGCCTTAGCAATAAGTATTCCTCAAAGTGACATTTCTCCATGTAAAAATGTAATTTTAAGGGAAACTTATCGTTAAGGATTCCTTAAAATGGTCAGTGCAAAAGGCCATGATACTATTAATTAAATTAGGTTGAGTTTATTCAAT